GATGACTCACCTCGGATCCCACAGCGCCTACTAGTTCGCGAGCAAAATCCCGTAAGCCTATTCGCATCGAGCGTACAGATATCTCCTGGCTGCGACTAAACTCAAAGTGCCTTTCTTGCACTTTAGCTAACCGCTCAACGCTCTGGGCGATGATCTCCACTTTACGTTGGAGATCCACTTGCGGAATCAATTGTGTTGTTACGGCAGCCCTCACCTCCTCCAGTTCCTGCATTGCCGCATTCGCCGCGTCCACTCTTCTCTTCTTCTCCCTCGTCACTGCGAGCTTCCACGCCATCCTTTGTTCATCCTCCATCACTCGCCGCGTCAGAACATCTTCTTTTGCTTCCCATTTCTTCATGGCGGCTTCTTGCTCATCCTTGGGGATGTACATAGCAACCTCTTCCTCCTCTCCCAGGGATAAGTTGGCGACCCACTCCGAAATCTTCTTCTCCATCTCATCACTGTTGCGGCCGCTGTGCTGCCCACTCCTTTGCAGTGGTGGTCCCTCCTCCTCTTCATCCACCTCCTTCAGCTTCTCCTCTTCTTCCTTTATCAGCCTCTCCTTCTCCCTGGCCATTTCTTCCTCCATCTTCTTCAATTTGGCCGCCTGTTCTTCTTTCAAGGCCTTCTTCTTGGCCTCCTTCTCCTTCCTCTCCTGCAGGATGGTGGCCATCTTCTCCTCCTCCTCCCTCGTGTATGGTTGGGTGGCGGTACCACCTCGGGTGGGCCCTACTCTACACACAAGGTATGCCAAAATCCCAGAGGAAAGAGGAGACGCCAGAGGGTCCCCCAGAGGGAGAACCCAACCAGCAACCCATACATCGGGTAGTCATCCATCGTGGTGTTGGTGCACGACAAGGGTCCCACTCCTCACCACGTAGCCCTACCCGGACACACTAACCTACTGACTGGCTTCCTAAGGACCACAAGATAAGACTTTGTCAACTATGGCCACTACTAACCCAAAACTACTCTAAGGCTGTCACTACAGAACCAAAAGCTGATCAGGAGGCATTTAAGGAGATCCCCCAAACTCCGCAAGAATTCTTTAACGTCGCAGACAGGACGACGTGATCAGCTTGGTTCCTCTGGCGATTTCAGCCCACAACTCAGCCGTTCCGGCCTACTGTGCCACACTGAGCAGCCCGCCGGTCTGTACCGGTCCTTGGAGGGGTTCGTATCCCTCGGGACAGTCGAGTCGTCAGATACAGATCATCATCCTTACTAGGTCCGGTAGTGCAATATAGGGTGATGTGGCGTTGCACTGACTTGGTCAGTTATTGACACCTGGGAGTCCGAATTCTCTGAATCTGTCAGTTGGGGGTGAAGCGCCTCAGGGAAATCTATAGGATCACAAAGTTTGATGCAATTTGGTACGTGGGAACACTGTATACTGTCAGGAGATGAAACTGGCGAGATGGGGTTGACCAGTCAGCCATAGCCAGGGTTTGATGCATCTTCTTCAGAGTTGACCCTGAAGTAAGTGTGTTCCTTACTCCATCCTGTGTGGCGATTCTGGGACTATTTTTAGGATAGCGAAAATTGGTCTGTCTGTCAGGTGACAGTTGAAAATCGAAATTCAGACCGTGGGCCAGCCATATCCAACTTCCCCTACCTATCTTCTTTGACTTCTACTAACCCTGGTTGACCTTCCCCCTAGCTCATATCTCATCTGGGACTGCTTTACAGTATTGCGATTGACATTGCGTAGTGAATTGATGGATTCAAGGGTCTGTGAGCAGTGATAATGCAAATTTGAATTTTGCGATGACATAGCCAAAGCTAGGCTAGACTAGGGTCAGTCATTACTTTGATTCTGTCCGTCAGAATTCGGTTTTGTCAGTCCCTGGTAAATCGCAATTCAATATTCTAGCAGTATCTGAAATCGCACATCCAGATTTGATGTTCTGAGTCAGTTACAGTGAAAACTGAAATTCGCCATACCCAGGGTATGGCATACAAGGTCATACAGTGTTGAGGTCTGTAGGGTAAGTCTAAAAATAGGCCATCCTGTAAATCGCTGCATCTTGGTCATCAGTAGAGACCGGTCTAACCCTAATTAGTCACTCTGTCTGATTGCTAATCAACACTAATTAGTAGTCCAAGACTGCATCCTATCAGTTGTTGATTCAGGATTTGCAATTATTGTATGCATTTGTTGTGTCAGGGCAGGGATGGAAAAATCGTGAAATCGGTTTTTGCCTGAGTGGACTATGAACTGACCCTGACCCTCAAGCGGTCTGCTGAGACTGAGCACTCACTTGCTCAGACTAACCCATCTTCTCTCTCCAGGCAGGTGACAACCATTGGATTAGTACTGTAGAGAACATTCAATTCCTGTTACCTCCTGCTCTGTCTTTATTGTCTGCTTGTTTGTTTGTTTTTATTTATCTGTATTGTGGGGAGCAAAATGGCTGATGCAGGGAAGGCAGAGGCTTTTGAGGTTAAGCCTCAGATTCCGCTGGACGCTTTAGAGGCTGAGCTGCAGGCCCAGGAGGAGAAACTCTCCCAACAGGCCAAAGCAGTTGAGTCCCTAAAGGCTGAGTTGAAGAAGCAGGAGGAGTCGGCCCAGAAAGAGGCCAGGAGGAACTTGTTGATTGCAGATGTGGAGAAGGTCAGAACGAGCGGTTCTTCCAATCAGTATAATAAAGACATTGCTGAGTTCGTCCTTCTGCAGGATGATATCAACAGGTCTTATTTTACTAACAGGGATAACCGGATCACCAGTCTGGAGAGCAACCACTCAACTTTTTCTAAAAAGTTGGATGACATCTCTGCCAAACTGGATCTGATCTTCAGTCACCTTCAGATCCCTACCACTTCTCCTGCCCCTCCCTCTCGTGGACCTTCTCAGGAAAAACCTGCATCACCCCCACCCTCCAAACCTGCATCTCCACCCCTTACACCCAAATCAACAACAGTTTCACAACCCTCATCACCATTTGAGTTTCAGCGGCTTAAGCTGACACCACCACTCATGTTCTCAGGTGAGGACCCAAAGGTGGATGTGGCAGACTGGGTTGCTGCACAGAGGACCTACCTGAGTGGGTTCAAATGTGATGAGGATGTGAAGGTGTCAGCCATCCTTGCTCGCTTGGAGCGATCAGCACTGAAATGGTGCACCTCTACTTCCAGCAAGCAAGGTATGGAGATGGCTGATTGGGTCAGAGGTTGGGGGTGGCTGGATTTCTGCAGGCCCTGCAGGACCGGTTTGCAGACAAGGAACAGGCCAGGAAGGCAGCAGACAAAATCATGCGCCTGGGCCAGAAAAAGTTTGATGGTTCCTTGTCCAAACTGTATTCCACCTTTGAGAGTCTGACATCAACTCCTGGGTTGGAGATGAGTGAGCAGGATTTGCTCATTCATTTTCTAAGGGCTGCGCCTGAGCAATTCCAGCTTGTTCTTTTCTCTCAGGGCCACAAGCACTGGCGGTCCTTTGGCAGAGCAGCCCTGGACTTGGAGTCCAAACTCCATGTCCAGGAAGCACCTTCTAAATGAAGGAAGGGACCCTCCTCCAAAGGGCGAAGAAGGAGGAAGGGTGCTATGTTTGCTGCTGCAGCTTCTGGTTCAGATAGTGACGCAGCATCTCAGGGTGGGAACCCTCCACCTGGGACTGCATCATCATCAGCTGTAGATCCTGTTCTTGCCCTGGCTGATGCTTTGATGAGCCTGACCAAAGGAAAATCCCCGGCCCAGAAAGCACCAACCAGCAGCAAGGGGAAGAGTAAGGGGCGTCCCTCTTCCCCTAGTGCCCAGAGAGTGTCACTACCACGAGACGTCCGATGGCCAGCTGACCCCCTTGACCCTTCCACCTTCCCCTGGCATGCACTCAGGATCCAGGAGGCGGTCTGGAGGAAGAGAAAGGACAAGGGTATCTGCCTGAGATCCGAGGGGGACCACTTCTTAAAGGATTGTCCCAACATGCCTCGCAGGTCTACATGCGGCTCTAGTTCAAAAACCAGAGCAGAGAGAGGTGGAAGCAGCAGCTCCTTCCACCAGTGCTGATTCACATTCTGATGGAGGTGAATCTTCACGTTCTCTCGCTGGTTCTTCCCTTGCAGGAGTTGCATCTTCAGGGTCTCTCACTTTTGAAGACTCTGAATTGGATGCGACGTGGGAGGAGGAGGATGCTCAGACTATTGCTGATCTTTTCCTGTCCTTGCAGGAGAAGAAGAAGCATAAGTCTGAACTCATCTTGCTTCGACCCTTCACCCTGGGAGCCAAGATCAAAGGGCGCAACTTCATCTCTCCCAAGGCAGTCAGCAAGCTGCATTTGGACCAGAGATTGGTGAAATTGCGACAGCCTTTGGAGTTTCGCATTGGGGACTCCTCCACAGTCAGGATTACCACTGCTGTCAAGGGCCTACCTGTGTCCTTTGACAAGCAGGGCGAAGTCAGGCATCGCCTGAACTTCTATGTGTTTCCTAATGTTCCCTTTGACCTTGTCTTCTCCATGCAATGGCCTGGTGCCACCAACCCTAGGATCGACTGGCAAATTCCTAGGGTTGAGCTGCCTGACCGGCATGGGGTATATCGCCCTTGCATGCTAGCTGACGAGTACCATCTGGCCAGCAGTTGTTATTGCATGAGTGCTCGCAAGTTTTTGCGATTCTGACACCACACTGACCACGCCCGTCTGTTCGTGGCTTATGTCAAACAGACTGACATGGAGACTGCTCCCTGTCCCCCTCAGATTCAGCAAGTTGTGGACAGCTTTTCAGATCTTATGGAGGAGCCTACTGGACTTGTCCATAGGCAGACCAAACATAAGATTGAGATCCTGCCTGGCTCGGTCCCTCCCAAGGGCCGGGTCTACAAAATGTCTCCTGTTGAACTTGAAGAGCTCAGGAAACAGTTAGAGACCCTGACCAGCAAGGGTTGGATCAGACCCAGCACATCTGAGTTTGGGGCACCAGTCCTCTTTGTTCCAAAGGGGAATGGTGAGTTCAGGATGTGCGTGGATTATCGTGGTCTCAAAAAGATCACGAGGAAGTCTACACAGCCTCTTCCTCGTATTGATGACATGTTGGACATGGTGCAGGGCTGTACCATTTTCAGCAAGATCGATCTCAAATCTGGTTACCACCAGATTGAGATGGTTGAAGGCGATGTCCACAAGACAACCTTCAAGACCAGGTATGGCACCTATGAGTACCTGCTTATGCCATTCGGTCTTTGCAATGCGCCAGGCACCTTCCAAACAGAGATGCACCGCATATGAGGCCTTACCTGGACAAGTTCGTGGTTGTCTACCTTGATGATATCTTGGTATTCAGTCGTTCTGTCCAGGAGCATGCGCAGCATCTGGCTCTGGTCCTCCAGGCCCTACGTGCTAACCAGTATAAGATCAACAAGGAGAAGTCCTCATTTGGGGTTCCCTCTGTAATCTATCTGGGGCATGTGATTTCTGGAGAGGGGTTGGCTCATGAAGCAACGAAAGTTGTTGCAGTTCAGGACTGGCCGCGACCTGCTAACATTCGTGATGTTCGTTCTTTCTTGGGGCTTGCATCCTACTACAGGAAGTTCATCAAGAACTTCTCTGCGATTGCAGCGCCATTGACTGATCTCACAAAGAAGACACTTCCTTTCTTTGGACATCAGAATGTCAGGAGGCCTTTACACGTCTCAAGGAGGCCTTGATTCGTGCCCCTGTTCTGAAGTTACCTGACCCTACCCTGCCTTTTGTGCTAACTACTGATGCTAGTCAGTATGGTGTAGGGGTGGTACTTCAGCAGGATGATGGGAATGGTCTGCCGCAATTGAGTACATGAGCAAAAAGATCAAGACCAAGAAGTTGCAGGACTCTACCTATAAGAAAAGAGCTTTATGCTCTTGTGTCAGTGCTCAAGCATTGGAAACACTTTCTCCTGGGCAGGCACTTCAAGAT